GGGCTCTATCCCATCCCCGAGATCATGACCTGAGCCGAAACCAAGAATTGGACACTTAACCAACTGTGCTACCCTGGCGCCCCTCCTAGTTATTCTTGCACATTTTTTCTTTCAGATGAAATTTAGAACAATTTTACTAATGTTTGAGAATACGGTTGGACTTTCATTTAACAGATAGACTGATTTGGGAAGGGCCACGTTTAAAATAATTGTTGTCTCTGAGCGCAATGTAGTTTTCCTCCACAGTCCCACACACATTTTAAGTTTGAACATTTTCTGAGCTTGTTGCCATAAATGCTCACATAATCCCATTATATTGTAAAAGTATTATTTTTTTGCTTGAATATGGAAACCCTATTAATTTTGAATATCTGGATCTATTGGTTAATTAAAAATCCTAAGAAAAGATTTTTTGGGCTTTCTATTTGGACAAACATACAATCTGCAGTAATGAAAAGTCTTCTCCTTCCCAACAGCTATGTCATTTCTAGTTTCAATCTTATTGCATCAAAAAATATTAAATCAGTATTCCGATGATAAGCCCTGAAAACTTTAAGAAAGCACATATTAAAAACTGAATCTTTGACAAGCAAGCTTATGAAGGATATATATTAAAAGTCTCAAGGGTTAGAGAAAGATCCAAGGTTAATCAACTTTGTCACTTTCTGGAGTGTGTTTCATCTAAACTGAAGCCAAAGAGCACCAGAAGGATTTAACAGATCAGGTGAGAGGACATTTGGAGCTGTACTTGATATTTTTGGCGGGGGTGGGGGGGGTGGTTCTTTTCCCTCCACTGCACCCTCCACAGACCACAGCAAATAACAGATCTTGTTAGTATTTGTGGCCATTGAGATGGGACTGACTGGGAAAGTGCCCTTCCCCCATCAACAGATACTGCATGCTTCTAAAGGCCTGGTCTGAATCTTTTTGCATAATCTGTGTTAAATTTTCTACCATTGCCACACCCTCTTCCTCTCAGACATCTCTGCCTGGAGAATTAATGTTTTCAGTCAATACTCATACACAACACTTCTTGGTTACAAAGTACCACACCAGCTACTAAATTTAAGTGCTGGTAGCTAAGGAAAAAAGAGTAATTTGTGGAGACAAGGCATTGATTTCTGAATGGCTGATTTTAATGGTGATAGGACTAGTTACAAATGCATTCAGTCCTGCCCACAATCAAGAGTTAAAACCTATGGTAGCCACATTTGCCACGAAACAGTGTTGCATTTGTTTTATATTTAACATAATGAGAAATAAGTTATTTTTCTAAGCAAACTACAAAAATCCAGTTTAATTGACCCTACAGATGAAATAAAATAAAACATGGAACACGGCTTCCTCCTCCCCTAAATACCTACAAGAGAACATCTACTTACGTTATTTGAGTGAATTGTATTTGATGAATGACACAAATTCATGTTTGGAGACAACAATGCTTCTGGAGAGGGAGCAAATTTTGCTGCCCCAAAATGTGCCTCTTTGGCATATTAATTGTTTCAAGCTGGTTATTTTTTTCCCCTCAAGATTTATTTATTTATTTTTGGGGGGGGGAGGGCGCATGAGTGAGCGGTGGGGCAGAGGGAGAGACAAGAATCTCAAGCAGAGGGGCGCCTGGGTGGCTCAGTTGGTTAAGCGACTGCCTTCGGCTCAGGTCATGATCCTGGAGTCCCGGGATCGAGTCCCGCATCGGGCTCCCTGCTCGGCGGGGAGTCTGCTTCTCCCTCTGACCCTCTCCCCTCTCATGTGCTCTCTCTCATTCTCTCTCAAATAAATAAATAAAATCTTTAAAAATAGGGCGCCTGGGTGGCTCAGTCGGTTAAGCGACTGCCTTCGGCTCGGGTCATGATCCTGGAGTCCCGGGATCGAGTCCCGCATCGGGCTCCCTGCTCGGCGGGGAGTCTGCTTCTCCCTCTCCCACTCCCCCTTTGTGTTCCCTCTCTCGCTGTGTCTTTCTCTGTCAAATAAATAAATAAAATCTTAAAAAAAAAAAACAAAAAAAAGAATCTCAAACAGACTCCCTGCCTAGCACAGAGCCCCAGCCTGATGTGGGCCTCGATCTCACGACCCTGAGAGCACAACCTGAGCCGAAATCAAGAGTCAGACGCTTACCTGACTGAGCCACCCAGGCACCCCAAAGCTGATTATTTTTAAGAGACTGCAGACTCAAAAACTCTGGAAACTGAGTAGAAGTTACCCTTTTATGAGACATTCACATATACAAGAGCAATCTCCATTTATAAGGGTGTCTCCTTCAGTACCAAGAAGAGGGAGAAGACTCTAAATCTCTAGAAACTGTTATCAATGGAAAAGGCATGGACTTCAATCTGTATAGTAACTTAAATCTTACCCTGGTTTATTATGCTTTTTCTGGTAACCTCCCATAACAGACTCCCCACCCCCAACACCTTTTGTCTTTAACTGGAGGTAATGGCTTCAGCCAGGGAGTTATTGCTTTCCTGGGTCTCTCCCATGTACACAGAAGGTATACATGTTATTTATTAGTTTGACTTTTTTTTTTTTTTAAGTAGGCTCCTCGTCCAATGTGGGGCTCAAACTCATAACCCCAAGATCAAGAGTCACATGCTCTACTGACTGAGCCAGCCAGGCATCCCTGTTTGATTTTCTCTTGTTAATTTCTCCTTACTCAGTCTCATGTCAATTTGATTCTTAGACCAGCTGGAAGAACCTTAATGGGTAGAGTAAAACTTTTTCCTGCCTAACGATTCACATTTGCAAAGTTTAACAGTTGTTTAGTATGGTGTGGAAGAGCCTGGGTAACTGCCTAAAAAAGTTTTTATTAACTCTTGCACTTAATAAGTAATGTTATTTGATGCATTACTTCATTAACTAAAATAAACCTTCCATCTCAAAATTGCAGTTTATGTTTTGTGAATGATTCCTAATAATTCCCTACATAAGACCCTAAGTGACAGTAAAAGCAGTGTTTAATAACTGACATATAGAGAACAATTTATATCTTTCTCAACTTGCATTTTTGCTTCCTTTTGAAACCGTCTTTTTGATTTTTCAAATTGCTTGTCCCAGTAGTATGAATTTTATTTTTTAAGAGTTCATTGTTAAGTAATCTCCACACCCAACATGGGGCTCAAACTTACAGCCCTGAGATCAAGAGTCGCATGCTCTGACTGAGCCAGCCAGTCACCCATGTCCCATAGTATGAATTTTATTTGCTTTAAGTTATGCTAAAATGTATAAAAGGAAGTCACAATAAACAGATTTTATATAATTCCTCTAACAGGCATTAGCAATAGGGTAATGTTCAGACATATCTCACCAAGTGCCATTCTAGAATACTGAGGTACCACAGCTATACAGAAGACAGTAGGTCCATAGTTTTAGTGTGGGACTTGGGGAGATGACACTCTAAAGTCTTATTTTTGTATCTATGGTGGAGAAAAATCTCCCAAAACCTAACAGTTTTAAATGTAAATCACTTGCCGTCACACTACAAAGTAGTGTTGAGGTAAATAACCTTGGATATTTGTAAATTAAAAAGATAGATTTAATCTTCAATTTTTGCTAAATTCCAAAATCCATATAATTTAAAGCAAGTGGGACACGATGTTAACAACCAGCGATTCCAGGTGAGGGTGATATGGTGTTCACTGTACTATTATTTTTAACTTTCCTGTAAATTTGCAAATTTTCAAAATAAGAAATGAAAATGCACATAAAACAAGACACCATGAATGAAGTAAAAATATAAGACAAAGTATTTGTCAATGAATACCACTAATTTTAGAGAAAAAAAAAGGACCCATCCACAGGTAAATCCTTCTGCTAAGAGCATGGGAGAAACATTTGACATGCATTAAAAGAACAAACTGATTTAGAAGGCGAGAGACAGCACTATCATCTTATGCCCTCATGGACATCATCTTTGAGTTTTCAGAGTATGTTTTCCTGGTCCAACATTGGCTGCCTTATCTAATTATGCAAAACAGCAATCTACTGACTTGCACGTTTACACATGATGACAAAGCTTTTAAAAATGTGAAAATTTCATTCAGGAGGGTCGGTAGAACAAAGCTCTCTCCATAAAATGAAAATGTTCTCTAACTTTAAGGAATAAAGAATATTTTCTCAGTTGAATGCCTGAAAACTGCTTGTATTATGAATTTCTTCTGTATCACTTAAATTTGCTATGCTTTATAATGAAGTACATAGTTTTGATCATTTAGAGCCTCAGCTAAATGATAAGGTGTCCCATTTCCTGTTACATCTCTGGCTGAACACTATCAGCTTAGCAAAAGAATGTTTTCTTTCTAATCTTCATTTACTTTGAGATATGAGATAGCACAATGGCAACCTGGAATCATCTGTCTTTTGGTGGAAAAGTAGAGCAGACAGACGCCATAGGCATGTGAAAAAACAGCTTATGCGTTCTAAGGAAGAAGGAAACCTACAATCCAAGGGCTAAGGAATAACTAAGGGGCAGGTAACCTGAAGAAACAAGGACAGCAGAAGCCAGCCAGTCCTTTGAAGTGGAGACACAGGTGACATTAAGATGCAAGTCCCTGGGAAGCTGGACCTAAGCGGATCCCAAGAGCAATAGCCTTACTATCTGGCTATAGTTAAGATGAATGACTGCTAGAACATTCATCATAGGCCTCAGAAACTGCCCAAATATGGCTGCCTCTTCTCCTACTCCCCATACCTACTACACCCTTTCTGTCTTAGATCCCCACTCCCCATACACACTACTCCCTTTCTGTCTTGGATCACGTGAAGGGAACTGAGACACTATGAAAACAAGTTTTTCTGTAGCTTGATAGCAGGGTCTGAGGAGACAGGGGCAGGGGTGAGTCGAGACAAGTATTTGGAAAATTGAGTTTCTCTGTAGAGACTATAATAATAAACAAAGATCTCTTAACTTTTTAAATAACTTAAGGTATCTTTTCTAATAAGCTAAGATGATTCATAGAATCAACAAAGCTAGACATTGCACTTCTTCTTTTGTTTTTAAAAACATATAGACATTGTTAGAAGCAAAAATTAGAAATATTCACGTTCAGTCAAGCCCATTTTTTCAAGTTCCCTGAGATGACACATACCGACATGCTACCAACACAATGTTACAGCAGAAAGTAAATTATTTACAAGCACCATTTAAAGTCAAATTTCTATTTCACCACATAAAACCTGCAAGATAAATTATATCCTTACAACTGGTTGTTGCTATAAATTTATTCAAATCAAGAAAATTGTCATAAGTAAAGCTCTCAAAGTAATTTTGGCACAGATGAAATCTTGGTCATTTTGTTAAGTCCCTGAGTTCTTTTAACAGGCTGGTTTTTGCATTCAGCTGCATCCCCAGCTACGTGGGCCACAGTGCCTCCCAACCTACCCTGACCCCAAGCTAACTCTAGGTCAACATTTAATGCTATAACCTTTCTAATCCATGGTGCTGGGCAGAAATCACACAGCTTCAAGGAGGTCCCTAACCCAAAGAGCACCCCCTATAGTTTCTCTGTTTATTACCAGGCAGAAGAATCAGGTAGGGTGCATCTCATGCACACGTCTTCTCATTTCTAAAGTTGACTAAAATGAACCATCAATGTTTTAATGTCTCCAGGGCTTTATGTCTCAGATGCTCATCCAAACACTGGATGGCAAAGAGGTCAATGTCTGTGTCAAACTTGTTGGCAAACAAGTGGTGCTTGCGTAGCATCCAGTTCAAGTCCCCTGCTCCGAACACGCACACAGAACGCACATGGACCCCACTGCAGGGTGGGTAGGGGGCACCCTTGGAAACATCCCCTTCGAAATACTGCCATTTGACAAACCTTGCAATTGCATGCATGTCAGACATGTCATACTTCTGGCTTAAGGACAGTGAGCCTGGGACATCAGGGATCCTCTGAATAGTGGCCCAGAGATACTCATCCGGGCTGTATGTATCTTTAGCCCACTCCATAAACTTTTGGATTTTTTCATTCTCTAGCACATACCCCACGTACATCCTACTGACCACAAAATAGGCACTGCCTGAAAACAGAGGCGTTTCGAGAGGAGGGTGCATTTTGTCAGTCCCCGTGTTTGTCAGCTTCCCATTAACAACTGTATAATGCTTTTTCCACCTTTCTTTTTTATTGGATGGCATTCTCTCAGTTTCTAGGTTGTTTTCACCCATTAGCGACTTGAGCTTCCGGACAATTTCCAGGTTGGTTTTAATGGGAAAATCCATACCGCAAAGATTTATCAAGTACTTCCAGTCTGCACTCATCCTGTAGAGGTCTTGCATGCAGTTGAGGTCGGCCTGAACCCGACTCCACGAGGCATACACCACACTCTCCAGCTGACTGGCCACAAAGACATTACTGAAGCAGGACGCAATGCCAATCACCGCGGCCAAAAAGGAATCCTCTGACTTTCTGTCCACGTGAATGCAGTAGAAATTCTGAGGCATATAGATGGCTCTCAGGAGCCTGTCAAGCATTTCAATTTTGTGATGAACCACTATAGAATATGCTATGGGAAACTCTTCCTCTTCTTTACTAAGGGGTTGCATGATATATTTCCGCCTCTTGATGAAAGAATTACAATCTCTGGTCATGTTTATATAGTCATTGGTTGTCCACCGAGGGCGCTGCCTAAATTTCACTGTGAGAATTTCAAGCTGTACCTTTTGGATTTCATCTACATCCCCCCGTAAAACTTTGGTACAATTAATATTACTACTAGGATTCTCTCCAACCAGCTCCAAATGTCCAACACTTATAAATTCGGGCTTTTGATGAATTCTTAAAACAGAGAAGGTGACTAGGGAAAAAACAAGAAGGAGGAAGAAGTATTTAGTGGGATAAGAGAAAAGTCTCCTCCGCAGCAACTTTCTCAGCATTTCAAACAACAATCAGGGATTTTCCTTAATTAAGGGCAGTCTTCCAGGCTTCAAGCAGTCATGGTTTCTCTACCGTCGTGGCCCTGAGAGTTGTCAGTTCACATGGAGAACAGCACTAAAAGAAAAATAGAAGGAATGTATATAAATACAGTCTTTTTACGACATCTCAGGTTTAAAAACCATCCTCTTTGTTATGAGGTCAGATGTTCAAAACAGAACAAAATTGGTCAATCAGCAGAAAAGGGTAGTGTTAGAGGAAACCCACAGTCTGTAATATTAATGCCAGATTCTTAAAAAAGAATAAAAGGGGGGACTCCTGGCTGGCTCAGTCGGTGGAGCATATGACCCCTGATCTTCAGGTTGTGAGTTTGAGCCCTACGTTGAGTATGGAGATTGTTTAAAAATAATATCTAAAAAAGCAAAGAAAAAAAATACAAGGATGTGCTAAAATATCCTACATTATACCTCTTAGGAAGTTACCTCTCAGGAAAATTGAGGTACAAATCACAGTTGAAGACCTAGGCTACAATTAACTCTCCACAGTTGGTGAGATAAGTTTTTCCTCCTGTGCCAGTTCTAAGGAGCACCCTTTGCCTTGAAATCATTACTAATCTGGGTTCCTCCTGATGCATCCATTAATGTCCATCAGTTGGCATCAGCAGCCCCAAATATTTGAAGCAAGCAGCTTCATTTTGCACTTCACCAACTTAGGACTGGAGGTGCTCTTAAGGAGAAATTCAAAAATAGCTGTGACTTCTAAGAATCTCTGAAGGAAAAGCAAGTCAAGTGAATTTTCAAACTAAACCAGGAAGACCCAGCTGAAACCAGGCCAGATTTGGGTCTGTTTTGAATCTCTCTTAGTTCAGTTCCATACCAGGTACCCCAGGAAGAGAAGACATACACAGTCCAAAATAGAGACATAGCCTTGCATTTCCTACACTGCTTTTACAGGTTATAATAATTAATGCTTGTGAGAAACAACAGTTGTATACAAATTATAATGTATGACACACCTGTTGTCTATATTCAAATGAGGAACCTGACCCATTTTTATTATGTTTACAAATATTACAAAATATATTTTGTTGTCAAAAATCAATTTTATAACTTGGCAATTGGTTCTATAACTAATAAGTGCTACTGTTCTTTTTTTTTTTTTTTTAAGACTTTATTTTAATCTCTATATCCAACTTGGGGCTCAAACTTACAACCCTAAGATCAAGAGTCCTATGCTCTACTGAGTTAGCCAGGCACCCCTAAGTGTTACTGTTCTAACAAATAAAGCCAAATACCATTGATCATCTCCATATCAGATTTATAGAGATTTGAAACTGGTTTTTAATACCAGGAAGGATTAGCACTAGAACTTTTAAATATTTAGTTAGGAAATAAATTGTGAATATTAATAATGCAAATACAAATAAATAATTGGACATTATTAGTATAGAATAATGTTATGAAAAGTACTTAGATTTTTTTTTTTACCATTTAGACTTAAAGAAAGTCTGGCTCATTTAGTTCTTGGATTCCAGGTAACATACTGTGTTTGGAAAATGCCTTTCATGCAGTCAAGTTTCTTATATGTACCAGGCATTCAGCAACAGTGCTGTCCCATGAGGCTTTTAAAAAAATCTGTGAAATGAAAAGGGAAATGTGTGAAGGGATGTAATGCCCATTAAGTATACACACACTCAGAAAGCATGCTGGTGAACTAATCCTAGGTATTCACTTTTTTTTCCTCAAAATTATGGCTGGTTCATTTCTTGCTTTTAAAATTTCCTTCTCTCCAATCTTAACTTGTTTTTCTAATGCTGGTTGTGTATTGTTAAAGGTTTGAAAATATTTACAATTTGGGTCAAGCTTTTCCAAAGAAAACTCTAGCAACATGTCCCAGAGTGGGTGCCAAGGAACCATGTAATGGTCCAGTACTACTGGAAAATCGAATATATTCTATCCCCACTGTGAAGATTCCTGGTGCTCACTGGCCCATTAAAACAATCTTGCAGTTGAGTTAGCTGCTTATCTCATCTTCTTCCAACTATCTTGTCTACCACCCAACTCCAAACCTGTATTAGCAAGAAACGTGGGGAGATTCTGCAAAAATAGTTCAGCATGGCAACCATTTAAACATCAGATCATCATAAACAAAATGATGCCACTAGGCAGCTCCTACTCCTTACTGGTTCAGACATTTGAAGAAATCTCTGTCCAATCATTAAGTGATCTGATCTCCAAGCTAACTGAACAGGGACTTAAGTGGCCTCACACTGCGAAGAAAATAAACTTTTGAAAATTAACCTGGAAAAATCACTAAACAAAGAGCAACACCACCAAACCCCCGGCAGGGTAGGAGCAAAGGTCTGACTTCCAGTTGACATATTATAAAATCTCCCTTTTCTTTCTTTTTTTTTAGAGAGAGCACGTGCGAGAGAGGGGGGGTGGGGGTGTAGGGGAAGGGCAAAGAGAGAGGGAGAGAGAGATTCTCAAGCAAGCTCCACGCTCGGCATGGAACCCAGTGCAGGGCTCGATCTCATGGCCCTGAGCTGAAATCAAGAGCCAGATGCCTAACTGACTGAACCACCCATATGCACCTAAAATGTCCCTTTGACAACAAAAAATTATAGAATATGTCAAGTAACACAAAAGTCTGGCCCGTATAAGGAAAAAAGCCGTCAATAAAAACTGTCCCTGAGGAAGCCCAGGCATTGGACTTAACCAAGACTTTAAGTCAGCTATTATAAATATTTTCAAAGAACTGAAGAACTGAAAGTATAAGAATCATATTTAACCACATTGAGAATTTCAATAAAGAGACAGAAAATGATAAAGAAAAAAACCCAACAGAAATCTGGAATTGAAAGTACAATAAAGTGAACTGAAAAATTATCTAGAGGGGCTCAACAGTAGGTTTAAACTGACAGAAGAAAGAATCAGTAGAATTGAGGACAGGTCAAGTGAGAGTATCCAGTTTAAGGAACAAAAAGAAAAAGAAAACGAAAACTAAGAAAAATGAACAGAGCCCCAGAGACATGTGAGATACCATTAAGTATTATCAACAGATGTATAATAGAATTTACAGAAGGAAAGGAAGCGGGGAGAGGGCTGTATACATGAGCATGGGAGGTAGAAAAAAATATCTGAATAATGCTGCAAATCTCCCCACGTTTGATTTTAAAGAATTAATCTACACATCCAAGAGGAGCGATGAGCTCCAAGTACGCAAAATGGTAGAATCGCTTTGGCGGTGTGGCAGTTTCTTACAAAGCTAAACAGAGGCTATCCTCTCAACACGGCAATCACACTCCTAGGTTTGTTTAATGGTCTAAGATATGGCCTATCGTGGAGAATGTTCTATGTGTTCTTGAGAAGAATGTGTATTTTGTTGATGTTGGGTGGAGTGTTCTACAGATGTCCACTAGCCTAGCTGGTTTATAGTGGAGTTCAAGTCTTCTGATTCCTTTTTGCCATTCCTTATGAAATGTCTTTGTCTCTAATAATTTTTGCCTTAAAGTCTATTTTGTTAGCTCTTAGTATAGTTACTCTAGCTCTTTTTGGGTATTTGTTTGCATGGCATATCTATTTGCATTCTTTTACTGCAATCTAACTGTGTCTCTAAATCTAAACCATTTCTCTTGTAGATATCCTATAGTTGGATCACTTTTTAAAAATCGATTCTGCCAATCCTTGCCTTGTGATTGGAAGTCTTAGTCCATTTACACATAATCTGCCATTTTGCTATGTGACCCAAACACACCGCCAAGCCTTCCCTGCCCAGAATGTACCACAGGACTGGGCAACTGTCTTAGCAAGTATCCTAGAGAAAGTCCCTCCCTTGAACACTGATGCCTTTCTTGAAAGAGAAGACTTTCATGTGGACCCCACCATGAATATTTTTAAGTAGAAAAACCCAACTTAAGGAGAAACGGAAGAAGAAAATAATTCTACCACGTGAAGAAAACAGGGAAAGCCAAGACTTAAAGGACATTCTTAATACGTGGCTTTTTGAAATTAAAACTAAGAAGCACAAGAATACTAAGTTCTATAAAAACTGAAAGTAAACTCTGATCTTTTCTAATTCTGGTACTAAGGAGGAGTCAAGGAAGGGGACAAGAAGAAAAGCATGGAACACACATAAGGTAACAATACAGTCTCTAGAAGTGTTCCAACATAAAATGAGCAATTCCAACTGGTCAGGACTAAGGTGCAGCTGAGTACTCACTGGAGTGGGCGGACAGACAAAATGTCCTCAGGTAGAGTGAGAGAAGAAGCAGCAAGTAATATTTGAAAAGCAGACAGACGAAAGGTAACTGATTAAGCAGACCCAAGAATCCCAGACTGACAGCAGGGAAAGAAAAAACCAGCTCTATTTTTGCTACAGGATCTTCAAAAGGTTCAGGGAAATGGTAGCACAGATTCCAGAGGAGGGATGAGAGTGTCTGAAACAAAAACAAAACGTTATTGACCGGCAGCTTTTTTAAAAGCAGTTGGGTCTCTACCCTGAAAACTGGCCATGACCCAAGATTTAGTCTCTGAAGGCTGGGGCACACCAGGCACAATGGAAAGCAGGGTTTCCAACCAGGAAACAGTGGAACCGAGTGAACCCAGAGACAATAGGTATTGAGGTCTCCTTCCCTATTTGCAGCTATGAGCTCCCAGAACTTCGACAGCCAAGCCAATGCAGGAGTTTATTTACTAGAGAATCAACCAGGCCAACACTTAAATACATTGCTTAAATTAGAAATTTCCCCAAATGTTCAAAGAAACAGATTGTGTACAGGGAGAAGAAAACTAATTATAATAACCTCAGAGAGAGAAGAAAAAATATTGCATTCAACCAATCAGTAAGATTATAGGGCCCAAAAAATAGGCAAGACAATACTCCCATCCCATATGCTCTTTTGCAATGTGACCTTGCCATTCACGAATAAAAAAATAGTCAAAATTTCTTTCCCCTTGAATTTGGACAACCTTATGACTACACTGACCAGTAGAGATCGGCTGAAGTGACGCGATGTGGCCACCAAGACTGGGTCATGGAAAACTAAGCAGCTTCCAACTGGTTGTCTTAGAAAATTTGCTCTCCAGAGGCTTCCTTTCGGAACCAGCTTCCATGATGTAATAAGCCACGCAGAGAGTCCAAGATACCCAAGTCAACAGTCCCAGATGAATCCAGCCTTCATTCATCCCAGCCCAGGTGCCAGACATGTAATTGAAGAAGTCACCAGATGACTCCAGCCGATAGTCACTCAAGTCTTCTCTGAATTCCTGACCCACAGAATGTGGGAGCAAAAAATAAAATGGAAATGTTCATGTTACTACATTTGGGGAGGTCTGCCTCACAGCAGGGACTCCAACTAATCTGAAACAGAACATTTAGCAAATAAAAAAAGCTATTAAAAATTAACGACATGATAGGAAAAACTACAAAACTCAATGGCAGTGTTGGAAAAGAAAGCTGAGGAAAACTCTCAGGGAGTTAGTTAGGCAAACAGGCAAACCAACTGATGGGGAAATTGGAGGGGGGAAAAATGTATCACAAAGAAGGAATAGTTTCCAGGTCGACACTCCTTGGAATATCAATACAATGGGTGAAAACAGATCCACAGCAAGACACATTCCTGAATCATGAAATATTGGAATACTGGTTAAGAGAGTATCCCATAGATCTCCAGAGGGGTAAAAATAAGCCCCACAGACAGGATTCAGAAGCACAGGGTCTTCACATTTCACAGAAACCATCCACAGAAGGCAGATAATGAAGATAATGGCAACAGCAGCATTAACAATGCTAAAGGAAACTGAATTCCAGAGAATTCTTTGAACCACATGAATTGCTAAGTCAATTAAGGGTAAAATAAAAACATTTTACATCTTAAGACAGGTAAAGTCTCAAAATATTTACCTTTGTGCACTTTACCTCAGGAAGCTACTAGAGGATGAACTCCATCAAAACTAAAGTATGGGGGCAGAATTTACTTAAAAAAAACAACAACAAAAAACAACTGAAGTATAAGCTAAGAAAGGGGAAAACATAACAATCAGAAAAGGCACATCCCAGGATGATGGTAAAGGAACATCCCAGACTATATCACAGGCCAACAGGTAACCGTAGCAGGCTGGGGCGGATGAGAAGGCCCCAGGAGAGGGTGGCTCTGTCGGGTCAGTGGGTGAAGTGACTGACTCTTGATTTCAGTTCAGGTCACGATCTCAGGGCTGTGAGGTCAAGCCCCGAGTCAGGCTCCGTGCTTAGCAAGGAGTCTGCAGGAGATTCTTTCCCTCGCCCTCTGCCCCTCCCCCGTCTTGCATGCGTGAGCCTGGGGGCATGCGTTCTCGCCCTCTCTCTAAAATAAATAAATAAACAAGCAAATAAATAAATAAAATATTTTTTAAAAAAAAAGGCCCCAGGAGAGATGTCTTCAAGATGAAACTGATGGGATAAATGATGGGAATAAGCATACTGAAAACTGATTTAAAAAACTGGCAGTTTGGGTGGTGAATTTATAACTACATTGAAAACAAAGCAGATGAGGGCGGGCTGGGGTGACAGTCATTGCCTCCAAAGAAATCAGAGACATGCAATGATGAAAAAAGCCATCACTGTGCTCTGTGGCTTAGCTCTGAAGAGCACTGGTCTTAAAAGCACGATTTTCCCAACAAGATTCACCGACACCTTATTAGGAGGACAGAGCAATGGGAGAGATGGTTGTTGAAAGAAATGGGTTGTGTGCTTTGCCCAGCATCACGTAACTGCCCATGGGAGAGGCTCTAAAGTACGTTACTGCTCCAAGTTAAGGCCTCTGCCTAATTTAATCCACCACCTCTCGTCTTCAACCGCTCACCATGGTAAGGATGGGACAGAAGTAGGGGACTGTTTTCACAAGGATAAATACATGAGGCGATCTGTTTAAGGAAGTCTAAAACCCTAGATTATCGAATCTAGATTGCAGTTTGGAATATGTCAGGACACAGAGGACCTTGCGATATAATAACTAAGACCTAGATAGAACTAGCACGAGCCTCAGTATTTTAAATAAACCGATGCCAAAAGATGACATTCATCCCAATCACACACTAGTTTCAGTGAATTTAGAGAAGTATCACTACAAAGAGAAGAAAATGAAAAAAGATTAAAGAAACGAGCTACCTGTGGCTCAGGCTGTATTTTCCTAAATTCCTTTTTTTTTTTTTTAAGATTTTATTTATTTATTTGAGAGAGAGAGTCAGAGAGAGAGAGCACAAGAGGGAGGAGCTGGAGAGGGAGAAGCAGACTCCCCGCCGAGCAGGCAGCCCGACGCGGGACTCGATCCAGGGACTCCAGGATCATGACCTGAGCCGAAGGCAGTTGCTTAACCAACTGAGCCAACCAGGTGCCCTAAATTCCTTTTTTAATAATAATTTTTAAGAAGGCAAAGCAGGAAGAGGGAGGGAGAAGGGATTAAGACATATTTTATTATAAATTAATAGGACATAAAATATTTAGACCTCAAACTAGGATTTACCCTATTTACATAAATTTGCATATAACGTACATACCCCTAAGAACAATCAGGATTTTCCTGTTCAGCCTCTAATTACTCTCAAGACTCCCAGACAAGGGGCAAGATAAAAAGGGCCCTGCACTGGTTAGCTTCATTAACCTTGGGGAAGGTTAGAGCAGACAGGTGAATCAACTGTAAGAATGAAAGGGTGGACTTCAAAGGGGTAAACTCTTTTCTCCTCAACCATTTCCACCGCAGTCATTCTGGCTTAAGTCCAAACAAAACTATTATACATGGGACTAATTCTCTCTCCCTAGTGCCTATTGTTTCATTTTTAATGGTGGAAATATTTTTTTCTTTAAAAAAAAAATAAATACAGGGGCACCTGGGTGGCTCAGTCGTTAAGCGTCTGCCTTTGGCTCAGGTCAATGGGATCGAGCCCCGCATTGGGCTCTCTGCTCAGCGGGGAGCCTGCTTCTCCCTCTCCCTTTGTGGCTCCCCCTGCTTGTGCTCTCTCTCTCTGTCAAATAAATAAATATAATCTTAAAAAAAAAAAAATACATGCGCACACACACACAGGCAAGCGTAACTGAACAGCCAGACGGCTAAGTCAGGGCTCCTCTGTGACTCAAGTTCACAGACTCCCAAGGACTATTATTCTGTGACCCAGAGGCTGCTGTGCCCGGAGCAGAATACCCACCACTGCGATTGATGCTAAAGCTGCCCAAGCATCTCAGGGGATCGGGACCCCAAAGCACCCTGAAGCAGCCGAGGGAGGGAAAAGGAAGTGGATGAGATCTCAAGGCGACTTCCTACCGTTTACCACCTGTGTGTCTCCATGGCCTCCCCTCATCTGGGGGAACCTGGTCGGTCGCCCGCCTGCTATCTGTGACTCACTGCAGCAAGGTGCCAAGATTTTCTGAGGTGTCACCTAACACAAGCTCCTGAGAGCCCCCCCAACAGTGTCTGCTCCTCCAGACTGGCCAGGAAAAGCGCTTGGAGTCCCCAAAACTTAGGACCGTGATTAAAAACACCGAGCTCCACAGTTTAGGTCACTGTGTCCCAGAGTTCATTCCAGAGTTCCCTTGGGCTCCAGCCACGGAAACAGGGGCGACAGGGAAAACCTTCTAGGACCGGCACTGGACCCTAGTTTCCCGTGCCCTCTTTGGAAAGGGGGCTTTCCACATGAAATAAGATATTACAACTAAAGCCAGATGGTGTGACCAAGGGAGTAGAGGGCTGAAAACACGTGCTCAGTACAAGGCAGACATGGAAATGAGGAAATGTAGGAATATAGCTGGTCACTCAAACAGGATTCCAGAATTATGTGCCCTTCAGACCAAAAATTGTGTTTTCCACAGCAAAAAAATGTCCCACTGATCCCACCCGTTAGTACCTATGCTTTCTTGATATCTTGAATCCTCTTCAAATTTATAATTCAGGGCTAGAAATGCATATGGGGGTGCCTGGGTGGCTCAGTCAGTTAAGCGGCTGATTCTTGGTTCCGGCTCAGGTCATGATCTCAGGGTCCTGCAATAAAGCCCCGAGTCGGGCTCTGTGCTCAGCATGGAGACTGCTGGGGGTTACCTCCCTCTCCCTCCCTTCACTCACACTCTCTTACACTCTCTCTAAAATAAATAAAATCTTTTAAAAAAAAGAATACATATGGATTTACAAGTTTTATACACTCCCTTGAAAGCCAAAAGAATGCCCATAATTGCACAAAAGTACCAGAATTAAGGCATTATATTAGTAGTCAGGAAAAGCAAATGATAAACATGGGGTATACATACAGAGGAATATTACTCAGCCTTGAAAAGGAATGACATTCTGCCGCAAGCTACAACACAGATGAGCCCTAAAGACGTGCTACATGAAGTCAGTCAGTCACAAAAACACAAATATCGCATGATTCCACTTAAATGCGGTACCTAGAGTCATCAAATTCATAAGAGATGGAAAGTACACCAGAGGTTATTAGGGGCTGGGGGCAGTATGTGTGCAGGGGGAGAAGTTACAGTTTATTGGGTACAGAGTTTGTTTGGGATGATGAGAAGTTCTGGAAATGGATAGTGGAGATGGATGTACTTAGTGCCACTGAGTTTTACATAGTTTTAACCTCAAGAGTTTTTTTAAAACCTCTTTATTATGATTTTTTAAAAAGATGCACCTGGCTTACAACTAGACTAGACCTTCAGAGTGGGTGACTACCGGTAGAAAATGTTACTTAGAAGAGGCTTTTGAAATTAAGAGAAGACAGACATTAAAGGGTATTTATTACAAGAGCATTGGGAGGAGTGAACCAGGTTGTCTGAACATGCAAAAAGGGGCCTTTTTTGAGCTTAGTGTCATGAAATTTTGGACATGAAGAACAAAGATCATCTGTCTGCCTCCCTCTCAAAGACTAGTTTCTTACTGCCTATGTAGGTTTCGTGTTATCTCCCGTTTTGTTAATGCACGAGCAATGGAAACCTTGAAGTGGGAAAAACCTGTCCTCTAGGGCAATAGAGTTCATTTGTAGAGGCAGACCTTTGTAGACTTGAATGAAATATATCTACTTCGCGCATACACACACACACACAGTTTTTTTGTTTTTTATTTTATAGATTTTATTTATTTGACAGAGAGAGAGAGAGCACAAGGAGGGGGAGAGCAGCAGAGGGAGAGGGAGAAGCAGGCTCTCTGCTGAGCAGGGAGCCCGATGCGGGCCTCGATCCCAGGACCCCGGGATCATGACCCGAGCTGAAGGCAGTTGCTTAACTGACTGAGCCACCCAGGTGTCCCTGTCTTTGTTTGTTTGGTTGTTTTGTTTTTAAGAAATCTTCAACCTCATTACCACTGCAGGCCAAAAGTGAGTATAAAAGATCTATTGTTCACTTCAAAATTCCAGACTTGAAGAGTAATAAACTTTTTCCTTTCATTTTTTTAAAAACCTATTACTAGGTGGTTTAGAATGCTAAATAGTGCACCACAGTTTTATGGAAACAAAATTTTAGATTTGAAAGGTACTTTCAAGTTTCTTTTGTCTGCTCTTAATTTTGAAGATGAGAATACTAGGGCTCAGAAGCCACGTGTCCAGAACAATTCTTTAGCAGAGACAGTTTAACAGCGGCCCTGGTTTCTGTCCCACCTGCTCATCACACAGCCCATAGGTCCTGGGTTTTCTGAACAACCCCAGTTTTAAATATTCCAGGCTTTAAATGCTTCCTATGTCCCAGAAATTCCAATCCAAAATACCGGATTCCTTTTTGTTTTTAAAGGAAGTCCTAAAATTCCAGGTCATAGCATGTGTCTGGATTTTTGGCTGGTTAAATATAATGGTCAGAGGACATCTTCTCTTTTATTATGCAAAAAATGATAAAGCTAACCATGAGCAAGAATGAGAGGGTGCCTGGGTGGCTCAGTTGGTTAAGCGACTGCCTCCGGCTCAGGTCATGATCCTGGAGTCCCGGGATCGAGTCCCGCATCGGGCTCCCTGCTCGGCGGGGAGTCTGCTTCTCCCTCTGACCCTTCTCTCTCTCATGTGTTCTCTCTCAATCTCTCTGTCTCAAATAAATAAATAAAATCTTTAAAAAAAAAAATGAGAAATGCTTTTTAACATATTAAAATCCGCCTCAACCTCTTGCAATGTGGTCCCTTTCCCGAACCACCCTCCGTGAGCTCAAACCTCACCGTCTAGTGGGAACCACAGCAACAGTGAAGTCAAACAGAAGAAACGATAAATCCTATGTCATGTTCTAATGTAGGATTTCAGCAAGCTTCCTCATCTCTCCGAGCTTTGGTTTCCCCATCTGAAAAGTGGAGCTCCCCGTTGGGATGGGGGTGACTCAAAAACCTGTCAAGCACCTGGCAGAGAGACTGGTATGCAGCAGTTGCTGGATAAACAGAACAGGTGTCCTCACCACCATCTCCCATTTCAGCACTGAATTCCACATAATCCTGTCTAAGCTGTTCCAAAGCACGTCCTCGGTGAGTTCCTGGTAATCTGACCTAGTCTCGGGCTCCTTGCCCACTCCCTCCCCTCACGCTGTTCCCTGGGCCGACCACGGGCGTATTCAACTTGAAAAATGGAAGAAAGAGAGAAACAAAGAGTCCGAGTTGTCCAAAATCCCTCCCTTCCCTCAAAGAAAGGCACAGCGGTACTGTGGTTGCTTTGGTTAAATGTGCCTTCAAGCTCAGAGTGTTTTCCAGCTAAGGAAACTAGAGTACAGTATTTAAATGCTCCCGATTACAGTGTGTTGGGGAGCATACCGTGAATTCTGAGCCCCCTGTGTCAGGTCGGACAGAACGAGTAGCTATCAAGAAACCCCAAACCACCGGCCTCGTACTAGATGGTGCTCCTCCTGTCTTCAGGACTGACCTTACCTTCCTGCGCTTGGGGCTCCTCACCTGTGCACAAGGGCAGTTGGGTTTGGGTCAGGGGTCCCCAACTCCCAACTCATACAGCACTCTGCTACTCCTCAGCGGGCGGATGAAGGACAGGGACGGGGAGGCTGAGCCCTGGTCAGGTTGATTGTCTGGAGTGGAGGACGACGGGGAGGACCCGCTGCAACAAGACAACATACTAATCAGGCTGTACTTGCCTAAGTCTGAGGACTGACTTTCTTACATAACCACTTCTGAAAATTGATAGGCACTTATGCACCATGTGTTCGCTACTATGGTGGGTTTTTTTTTTAATTTCCTTAAAAGCACCTATTAAAATTGATGGTGCTTTCACAATGGAAGTTCTTGTGGGATTAAGGAGATTGTTCAGGTGAAGGGTTAGCAAGAACTTCGCAACAAGCATTTTACATACATTGCTTCCAATTCTCGCAACCCTGGAAGTAGTTACTTTCTCTCTCACTTCACAGTCAAGGAAACTGGGGCTTTAGGCTGCTTTGAATTGGGTCATCTGCTCCTGTTTACCAGCAGGGAAGAGGTGGGAGGGGGTTCGGCCCAGGGTTGACTCCCCAGAGGGTAGAGGGAACAGAGCAGTCTCACTTTCTGGCCAAGAATACCGGGTCCAGTTATTATTAATAGCTTTGAATCATACCTTGCCTTACCTCCTAAACCTTCCAAGGGGCCCCAGAACCTTCCAAATATTCCTGTGGGTGTCAATATGACAAACTCTCCTCCTGAGGGCTTCAGTCCTAAGATACAGGGAACCATTTGTGATCTGAGACCTAACCATTCCCTTGAAGCGGATGCATAAACTTGAGTGGCAAACTTGATCCAACATTTTCATTGTATCTAGATTACATTTAGGTATATACGTTGAATTTCAAAGTACTGCCAAAGCCAAGAATGAAGGAATTCCCTACGTGATGACACACAAAAACGGTTTTTGAGGTGAAACTGCATCCACAGGAGCTGCACTCCAGCTTGTAGAGAATAAACCCATTAAAAAACAAGGCTCCAGGGTGCCTGGGTGGCTCAGTCGGTTGAGCGACTGCCTTCGGCTCAGGTCATGATCCCAGGGCCCTGGGATCGAGCCCTGCATCGGGCTTCCTGCTCGGCGGGAAGCCTGCTTCTCCCTCTCCTATTCCCCCTGCTTGTGTTCCCTCTCTCGCTATCTCTCTCTCTGTCAAATAAATAAATAAAATCTTAGGGCGCCTGGGTGGCTCAGTTGGTTAAGCGACTGCCTTCGGCTCAGGTCATGATCCCAGGGTCCTGGGATCGAGTCCCACATCGGGCTCCCTGCTCGGCGGGAAGCCTGCTTCTCCCTCTCCCACTCCCCCTGCTTGTGTTCCCTCTCTCGCTATCTCTCTGTCAAATAAATAAATAAAATCTTAGGGTGCCTGGGTGGCTCAGTTGGCTAAGCGACTGCCTTCGGCTCAGGTCATGATCCCAGGGTCCTGGGATGGAATCCCACATCGGGCTCCCTGCTCCGCGGGAAGCCTGCTTCTCCCTCTCCCACTCCCCCTGCTTGTGTTCCCTCTCTCACTGTGTCTCTCTCTGTCAAATAAATAAATAAAATCTTTAAAAAAAAACAAGGCTCCAAACATACTATCAATGTGCACTAGAAAAATTTGAGCATAGACATACCCAAAACTATTCAGTGATCATCTTTTTGTTTGGGGGTGGGGTATTGATTCAAGCACTTTTGAAATGTTTTTAATTTCACTTCAGGAATTTCTAAAATTGCAAAGTGAGATAAAATGGCCCCAGTTCTCCAGCATAAGCTCCAATTAAGCATGCTGGCAAAGCATTATTGTAAAGATAATTTCCAAACAAACAAAAAGCCACTTACAGTTCTAGTCCACTTACACATCATTTTCAAGTTCCCTTCTAATGCCTGTCCAGGGATGTTCCTGACTTAACGTTTGTGCAAAGATGTAATAGCAGCTGGGATTCAATTTTCTGTTCTGTTTTTTTCTATTAATGGACATCACAGAGTCTTTATTGTTTTTTACCAATGTTAGTATGTGTCTTGTGGCTGGATATGAAGGATATTTCCAAATTATATTGTTGTAAACATGAACTATGAACCCTTTTGAAGATACACATAATTTGTTTTCTCTTGGCTTTATAAAGGATTTCCAGGAGTAGGATTCTTGAATCAAAACTTATAAATTTCAGGGCACCTGGGTGGCTCAGGCATTAAGCATCTGCCTTTGGCTCAGGTCATGATCCTAGGGTCCTGGGATCAAGCCCCGCATCGGGCTCCCTGCTCAGCAGGAAGCCTGCTTCTCCCTCTCTCACTCCCCCTGCTTGTGTTTCCTCTTTTGCTGTGTCTCTGTCAAATAAATAAAATCTTAGAAAAAAAAACACATAAATGTCTATGGTTCTCGACTGCCTTCCAAATGGACCACATTCACTTATACTGCCAGTAGTAGTATCTGAGCACCATTTTTTCTACATTTACTATATGGTTATCTTAATTATGTACTACATGTTCATCCACTGTATAATTAATTTGTCATCACAACTGTATAATGGTACATCAATGAGGTTTCATTTTGTATTTCTTTGATTACCAGTGGCTCAATATTTTCTCTTGAGTATATTTACATGCAAGAAGGAGAGCTTAGTAGCAATGATTTTAGCTCTGGAACTAGACTGCTCAGCTCAAAAACTGGGCATCATCATCCACCAACTCAAGACTTCGGTACACCCTTAACTTCAAGCTTCAGCTTCTTTGCTGGTAAAAATAATAGTAAATAATAATAACAGGGCACCTGGGTGGCTCAGATGGTTAAGCGTCTGCCTTCGGCTCAGGTCATGATCCCAGCGTCCTGGGATCGAGTCCCGCATCGGGCTCCCTGCTCCTTGGGAGCCTGCTTCTCCCTCTGCCTCTCTCTCTCTCTCTCTCTGTCTCTCATGAATAAATAAATAAAATCTTTAAAAAAAATAAATAAATAAAAATAAAAAATAGTAAATAATAATAACAATAATAATTTTAGGCAGTTTGATTGAATTAGGGTCATGTGTGCCTTAGAGTTTTTATAAAGAATAAGTGAGCCAACCTGTCATATGCTTACACTGTATCTGACACATGGGCCCTTCATTAAGGTTAGCCATTTATTCACGATGATTTATATTTTCTCTTGTCTGGACATGTTCAAATCTTTAGTTCATACCTAGAGGGAACTTTTCTTAGACTTCCACAATCAGAAACTGTATTTCAAGTTTACTAACAAATTCGCTCAATTTAATTCCACACCTAGTAGCTATCATACAGAACAGAATCCTAGGGTCTGGGTTTTGGGGTGGGGGGGGCAAGTACAATCATAAATAAAGCATCTTCCTGATCTCAAGGAATCCACACATGCTTATTTGCTGAGCCTTCTGGGGGAAATTATAGGCTTGGTCAATATAGATAAAAACTATTTGGGGAACAGTGCATCCACTGTAGTGCTGAAAGGAACAGGTGAGAGCATCTAGCCAGACTGGCCAGAAACCATAGCTGAGGGTCCCCGTGGGGGCGGGGGAGGTTTACAGGGACTTCTTCCTGGGATGGCCACACTCCAGAGGCAGCTACGACACCACGTGCTTCGGGAATTCTCATTGTTAGCTAGGTGTTTTGTTAATTAGCAGTAGCGTTAGAAATGAATCTTCCTGAGTGAACTGAATGACTTCGATTAGCATAACATAGGGAAAGAGTAAACGAAGATGAGATCACTGTGCTCCAGATGGAACAGAAACATCCTACAGGCCTCTCAGGCACAAATACCTGAAGGACAAACACGCTGGCCAAGTCGAAAAGCCTAGGATGGTGCCTTAGGCACATTCCTGGGTCCAGCCACTGATTCCAGAAAATTCGTCATTACTTGATTCCAACCCATGATCAGCTGAATCTTACAGCCACCCCAAGTGAACTTTTTGTGGGGGATGCAGCCAGAGCCCCATGATAGAGCAGAGGTGACTCAAGACTTGCTTTTTAACCCTCACCTTTACCTGCAGAGGAGAATGTAGCCCTCTCCAATCTCCTTCCCCAAAAGATCCAAAATGGCTTGGGGCGGATCTCTGTCGACAGCACAGAGGTGGCTAGTGAAGGAAAGAATGAGAACCACAAGGCCTATGTAGAAATGACTTAAAAGCATTTACCTGTCCTGGAGCGGAGCACTGGGCACAACACCCCCAGGAGTTTCTTTTTTCTTTCTTTTTAAAGCATTTTAAAGTGGATTATTTAAAGGAAGTTTAAGGTGCACATTTCAAGAGAAACAACACACATACATTCTGTATTTGTTACTTTTCAGAGTAGAAGCTCTAGTAGCAATTTTATTTTCCAGGAATGAACTATAGGAGCACATCATGGGGAAGAGGCAGTTTTACAGTTTACAAGGAAATCTAGTTCTCAAATTGCTGTACAGGGAGGGGGACACTTTGACTCAGTTTTTAATGATAAGCTTGTAAATTTTTTAGTACAAACACCAAGAGTAAAAGCTTTGAGTAAGTCCCACCTAGACATGTATATTTCTTTAAAAATTCCATGTAATAACTTTTGCACATTATAAAACAAAAAGATGGGGAAAAGAGGAAATAACGCCTATTAGTGTAATCACTTATGGTACAAATACAAATGGTTATTAAATTTGTAACGAAAGCAATAGATTAAATACGCTTTATTTTTAAAAAAAGAGACTTCATTCATTTGAGAAAGAGGAAGAGAAAACATGAGCAGGGGGAGGAGCAGAGGAAGAGGGAGAAGCAGAGAGCAGGGAGCCAGACTCCGGGGTTCGATCCCCTGGGATCATGACCTGAGCCCTAGACACTCAACCGAGCCACGCAGGTGCCCCTAAATACGCTTTATTTTTGAAAACTCTTGGTTAATTATCTTGTCCTAGAGCCCTGTTAAGGGCTGCTTCCAAGTTTCCTGTATCCTAACATTTTGTTTTAATGGCTGTCTGGGGTGACAGGGATCCACTGGAGAAACAGTAGAACACTCTGGGCTCTGCTACCTAAATCTTGATACCTCGTTTTCAGTCCATTCACCAATTACACAAAGTCTTTTTTTGGTGAGATTCAGCTGGTAGTTCTCAATCAATTGTCCTTGCAAACTAGTCAGTAGGTGTCACATTTTTATGAATCTAACAGATGGATTCAAAACCCACTGATATCCTC